AAAAGAAAATCCTTTTACGATAAGTAAATCTGATATTTCGGTTAAGTAATTTAATGAAAACATTGATAACGTGGAAAGAGAATTGATAAAAGCTATGCTGAATGTTCTAGTGAACACGAGCAAGCCATGAAACAAAGAAATTCAGTCTCTTGTGTGCGCAAGACCATTACAAAATAATAGAAAAATCCTAAAATTTGAAAAAGATTTAGTATTCTGATTACTTTACAGATACCTGTAACATTTGTTCCACTTTAAATAAACTAAAATGAGAAGCTATTCAGTGGGTCCACGCCTAGGACCTACTTTGAAAGAGCAGAAAATGATTGTACCTTTATCATCATTAAATCAAAGCAGGATTTTAAAGGTAGATAGATGTCTTCTCTTTTTTATTTTTGTGCTTTTTAGTTTTTTGAAGGGGCATTTAACTGACCTTTTTCAAGACATGGTAACTATCATGCAAAACACCCTAGGGTGATGAGTCTTAACATGAAACACACCAGATGCCTCTCCCGAGTAGCAGAATCAGGTGCTGTCCCCATAGCTTGTGTGGTTGTGTCTCACTAACCTTGCAAACCCTGTGTGTCCCTGCCTGGACTCTTCACCTTGCCTGCTCTCCATTTGCTTCCCAACGCTCTCTTCCTGGGTTCTCAACCTCCTGCTGTTGAAGTCAGCTCTTTTTTCTCTCTCTCTTTACCTCTATCACACACATATTCACTGACAAGTTCTTATAAACTTCAACCCTAAATATTTTCTGAGAAATGATTTCTTCCTATTTATTCTATTATTCCATTAATCTTGGCTTTCCCCACCAAGAAATGCCTCTTGACTGGTGTCCCTACTTTCAATGTTTCTCCTTCAATGTGAGGTGTAATGGAAAAATACAATACATGTTTAAAAATATGATGACAGTAAAAGACACATTGCCATTCATCCTCCTTAAATATTCCCCCTTCCTTTAAACACACTTAGCCCATTATCCTTGCCACGTTTGGAAACATTTCTGAGTCCTCTTTCGTAAGTGTCTTTAGTTGTGCTGTTGTGGCGGCCGCAGTGTCCTGAATGGAACCAAAATGTTTACCTTCATAGCTCTTTTTGCTCTGGGGAACAGCTGGACACTGCTGGACCCCAGATCCAGTACAAAGCCTGTTTCCATTGGGTGGCACTTGGCAGCAGATTCACTTCATGTTCTGATTACATTTCATTAAAACACAAAAGAGAACAACCAGAACTGCTTCAGAAAGTGGCAAGATCCCTGGGAGAAAGTGGAAGAATGACAGAAGAAGTGTATCTGAAGGAAGCGAGGACACTGCGAGGAGGATAAATGACAATGTGTCTTCAACTGTAATAGAAATTTAAAATTTAGACATTTGCCATATATGCTGTGATCATACCACATAGCTCCCAAACATCTTAGCTAAGATGCAAATCTGAAAATTTCCTTTCTTTACTTATAACATTCAAAGGGGTCCTTTTTTAACCAGAGGAAAAAGTTCAATTTTACAGAACCACAGTCTTGCTTACTCCTACTTCTCCATTTCATTTCCCGTTCTAGAAATGCTGAACTGCTTTTGATTCCTTGATTATTTGCTCTGCTATTCCATTTCTGTGCTCGCCGCTGCTAAATCTAGCTCTTTACTGAGGTAAACTCTACTTCATGCCATTCAGGTGTCAACTTGGATGACCTTCTACTTCTTACGAGAGCCAAGATACAACTGGCATAAAAACTTTCAATTATCATCATCGTAGTGCTTTAACATTTTCTCTTTTTTCTGGTTTCTCACAGCCATCATCTCATGATTTTAATCATGAGTTTACTTGAAGTCTAGGAATTTCACCAGAAAGGCATGTTTTGTGCTCATCATTTTAGCTACTGTACCAAGGCATAACACTGGAATGTAGTAGTCACGTAATAAATATTTTCTGAATGAATAAATTAAAACACTGTGTTTCCATAAAATTTTCTGGTATAGGACTGCTATACATATGCATTAAAACCAATTCAAATATGTATAGTTAAATCCTTTAAACTTAAAATGAAAAGTGTCTCTTATCATTTTTTGAACATTCTTTTACATTCATGTATATATACCTACAAAAGCTCAGCTTCAGATATATATATCATAAATTTGCTCTTATTGAAACAATAATTTAAAATTTTGCATCAAAAATGTGAAGTCAATATTGTCTCAATATGAATATTCATATTATTCCTTATCTTATTTAAAAATGAAGAGTGCTTAGAATGTATATCCCTTTCTATATATTGGCTCAGGTAATTAAAATTCTTCTGGCTCCCTTTCTATTTCTCCTGTGGTGTTTCAGCAAATAGGGTCTTGCGCTCGAATGTTTCCTTCCACACAGCTGCTCCTCTCCCATCTCCTGCCTAAAGCTAAGTTCGCCCAGCCTTCCAGGTGTCCTGCAGCGCGCAGTCCCTCAGATGAAACAGGAAGGGAGCTGGTGGTCTGCACTGCGGTCAGACTTTGTCACTACAGGACAAGTTTCTCTGGTACTGATAATGCAATTTGGCTCATGAAATCAGCTAACTGCTCAAAATTAGCACCTTTCCCTCCCTCACCAAAGACAATGAATGACCTTTCTTTACATAAAAATGTTCATGAAAAAACATAAATTTACAACTATAGAGTGGGTAAGCTTATTGAAAATCTTCAAGTATTTGTAAGAACAAATTAAAAGGAACAATTTTTATTTCCTATATTGAAACATAGGTAAAACAGAAATTGAAATTTTGCATGCAGAACTTATTTCTAGCCTTAATGATGGAACTTAAACATGCACAATACCAACAATCAAATAAAAAACCAGAAAAACATATTATAAGGCACACAGTATCTTCTACTTTCTCTATTTTTTATTGCTACTCATCCTTGCATCAGAAATAATACTGAAACTTTATATAATTGCCAAAATTGAACAGCAGAGGGCAGAAAATAGCAAACTCTTTCGTGGAGCACACTACTCAACTGTTTTGACAATTTTCAAGATTAATTTATTGGTCAGTTTACAATAAATATTGTAGAAAGGATCACTTTTAAATTGTTAAAATAGAGCTTTGGACATACGTAAAATAATTTTTCAGTATTTTTCCTTGTATTTGTGTAACCATTTAGTCAATTCAAATTTATTACACTTAAATTGACAGCATTTGGTACTTAAAATATATATTATTTAAATAAGTTAGTGGATTGAAAAATTTCATGAATGATAATAGCAATACAATTATTCCAGTGTTGTAAGAAATTTTTCTAATATGTGAAAGCTACATACATATATTGTGAATGTGCATTGATAGGACATTGATTTACAAAGAATCCTTACCTTTTGTTTGGACTCACATACAAATAATAATTAGTAACTAGACTGTAATCTTTGCTTAAGCTCTTACATATTTACTAAAGAAAATGTTCTATGATTCAGCAAATTCTGTTTTTATGGTATGCAATTCAGTTTTGAATTCCTATGTGCCCTTGACTTTGAAATAGGTTAAGATGAAAATAGCTTTCGAAAATCTCTTTTGAAATTCAATTTACGTCGACCCACACTTTAAACATCACCATTTTCTCGCATTCAAGACTCTATCCCTCTTCTTTCTCTCCTTCTCCTGTCCTCTCTTTCCTCTGATTTCAAGTCACTTTCCATAAAATTGAAGATTTTCTTGTGGAAGCATTTAAGTGGAGAAAAAAAGGAAAATGATTGAAGATGTGTTTTTCATTTGCTATGTCCTCCTATAATCCATTCTTTTAGATTATTTTTAATTTAAAAGGAGGAATGCTTTCAAATCATTTCTTGTGCTTACCATCATAAGTAATGATGAAATGTGTATGATTTAATTATTATGCTGCAGTTTTGAGTGTACACATAAATAATCTTGCTTGCCATATTATGTTTTTTCATTCTTTGCAGGACACAAGCCTTTGATTCAGTGGCGCGGCCTAGATACAGTGTGGAGTTTCTAGTGAGACGGAAGTAAACTTTGGGGATCAAGTCAGGTGTTTTCACCTGTGCGCATAAACTGGGTTACAGGCTGTGGGCTTTCTCACTTCCCGCTTTAGGGACCCTTGCACTCAGGGAGGGGGCGCTCACGGTTCGGGTCGCAGCCTTGGGGCCCGAGGCCACGGAGGCCACTGTGCCGCCTTCTCACGTGTACAATGGCGGCGCCGGGCCCGAGCTCCCCGCCAGCTTCCGCGCGAGGGGAGAGTGAGCGCCCACGCCTCGCGGGCATGGGGCCCGGGCAGCTCCTCCCACTCGCGGGCTGCGCTCCAGCCCCTGGCGCGGGCGGCCGTTCCGCGTCTCTGGGCGCCGCACGCAGGCTGGGACTCGGGTTCGCGGGGGACGGGGCCGAGAGCCCGCCACAGCCGCTTCCCGGTCCCGCGTGGGCAGCCCCGCGGCCGGCCTCAGTGGCCACGGCGGCGCGCTGCTCCCCAGCTCTCAGGGCTTCGGTCCGCGAGGCAGTCGGGGTCTCCGGGGCCGGGCGCTGGGCTCGGTGCTTTCCGGGGGCAGCGCCTCAGTGGGGCACGGACGCGGCCCGAGCAGCCCCAGGGCGGCCGGAAGTCAGCTCGGCAGCGCCGCCGCGCGGGACCCCGGAGCCCAGCCGAGCGCGGAGCTGTCCGCGGTGCTGACGGCGGTGGAGAGGGAGAGGGAGAGA